TTTTCATTTTATTAAAATAACACTTATTCTAAGTTATAAGAGAAATGGGTATACAGTTTGTAAATGAGAAGCTCATCCATAATGTGGTGTGTGTGTGTGTATGTATAGATATAGTATAAAGCATAAACGTTATCTATCTCTTACTTTTCTTGCAATCTGGAATGTTGCTATTAAGACTAGCAGGCAGATTAAGACTAGCAGGCAGATCCTTCAAGTCATGCCCATTGTTTTATGGACATATTCATGTAATTTTTTTCCCACTTTTCTATGACGTGTTGGTCTGGTATGTTTAAGGGTATTGCAGATATTTAGTATTTATTTGTGTTTAGAGTTGCATAGGCTGTTCTGATCATAATGTTTATCTCAGTGATCCCTAAGTCAATACAAACTTATGCAACCTCTGAATTATAAAAAATTAAGCATAACATCTTTCTATATATTCGATTAAAAGTTTGCCAATTCAGCATAAGAAGATAGTGAATATAGCAAGTAGAAATTTGGATATCCTTCCAGTTGTTTCAATAATGTTTTTTAAAATACTGTTAATAAGAGCCCAAAGGTTTATTTACTTGATAACCCTATAATTAGCCAGAATACAATGTTGTAGATGTTCAAATACTCAAATTTTTCTGCTTCTGATTTATCACTTTATGATTGTTGTTTTGTCTCCTCTCAACAACCAAAGTTTCCCTAAATGCTCTCTAAGCATTTGAATGATGACCTAAGATAGTTCACTATTACAAAGCAGAGAAGTTTATTTAAAAAAAAAATCTAACAATTTCCAGCTATGAAAAACATTGTTAAGGAATTGATGTTACATGACACTGTTGAAGACCAACAACAACAAAAATCTGTAGAACTGCCTGAAATCTGCTTGGTTCTTCAGACGAGATCAGTGCAAACAATATGCTGAAAAATTTAGCTGATATTCACCATTCAGTGTTGCTTATGCAGCAGTGATCTACAGAGGAAAGTTATCAAAAATTGTTTTCCAGTCTGTTCATAAAAATCATTGCCAAAAGTATGCAAAAGAGAACTTTGGTAAGTCTGAAATATTTTGAGGCAAAGTGACTTGAACAATTGGAACAAAGATTGAACTGTTTGGCTACTACCACAAGATACATTTTGTGTGTGTGTGTGTGTGTGTGTGTGTGTATGAGTGAAACATTGAAAGAAGGAACACCTTGCCCACTATGTACTTAAAGGAAAAACTTACAAAGATTTTGGAGTGACCTTCACAGTCTTCCAGCAATAATGGCTATGCTGAAATCTCAAAATATCCTGCAAATGCAGAGACTACTCTAAGAATGTTTCTGTGCTAGAAAATGTCTGCAAAGAAGATTTGTGTGTGTGTGTGTGTGTAAGAGAGAGAGAGAGAGAGAGAGAGAGAGAGAGAGAGAGAGAGAGAGA